GGTAAAAGAAAAACGGCGACGCGCAGCGCGCAAAATAAAATACATTGATCAGTCTCGATAAATAATACGCTGAAATCGGCTGGCCGTAATTTAGGAAAAGTCACCGGAAAAAATACGCGTATTTTCCAACGCGCTCATATTTGCTATCGACGGCGGGGCCAGTCGCATTGAAAAGCGCGCTCGACGAATTGCAGTGGAAACTGGCGTTGCCGTTTTAGAGAACGGCATATTGTACAGCGTCGCGCCAAATATTGCGCCGGACGAAAATGCATTCCGATATTATTGAAGCCTTCCGCGCTTTTGATCGTGCTCGTGATCTCTCCCGCCAACTGGTTTATTTCACCAATGTAAACACGCAATATCATTCCCCCCTCTTTCACCCTCCCTCCCGGCGAGGATATTTCCAATTCGGTCGATTTCTTTCGCGTCATCATCGCGTCACTGTCATCGCTCACGTAAAAAAGTACCAATGACTGGACGCTGTTAAGGCTGGCACCTAATTCTGGACATTTTTATCGTTTTAGTCTTTAAATATGAATATACATACACATTCAATGTAGAGTTAATAAGACTTTGCTTGAACGAACAAAATTCATTCAAGCGGACGTTTAGTCGATTGAACGAATTACATAGTTGCTGTGATGTGTTATATTAATTGATTCAATAATTGCGATTTGATCAATAACTGTTTCAGCGCAACTTCCCGAGTCGCAATTTTGATCCTACTTTCAGCCTCACTATTTCGTTCACCTATTTTGATATTCTGAAGTCTATGATATAACCTATTTTGACTCCTAAAAAATACAAATAACAGGTTTTTTCGCTTATTTTGTGACCCTTGAAATTCGAGTCGAATTGTATGCCAAACAATGGTATATAATGGAACACTAATTTTAGAAAAATCTTAAGTTAAGTATATGGATAGTTTTAAAGATACGGAGAGTCAAAATAGTCAAATTCCCAATATTATCTAAACACAAAAAGAAAGTTAAAACTTCTTTGATAACAGAGGATTTTGACTAGAATTAGATAGTTCTCTGACTACCTGAAAATAAAAAAATAATTTCGGTATGACACATAAATGTCTATGTAAATGATATTAATAATTCAAAATTTTCTTTTACATGAAATAAATATATCAAAACCATTGCTTGCATTATAACGTTATTTTCAGATACTATTTTTCTTTAGATGCGGTTTTCGATCAAAGGATTAATCCTACAAAAAAAATAAAACGTACCTTTTTTGTGCAGAATTTTAAGACAAGCCACTCTTATCATAAATATTTTTCGTATCTATCAACCAAGAAATTTTTTCAAGAAATTTAGCAAACACTTTTTTTATTCTTTTATTCTTTTAAAAAATTAAGCAACAGAAGTGGAGAATTTTTAGTATGATAGTTAGAGAACTATTCTGACTAATTCTAGTTAAAATCCCACTGTTATCAAAAGAGTTTTAACTTTCTTTTGGTATTTATTTCTTTTTTTAACAATATTGGGAATTTATGTGTGTGATTATTTTCCCCCCGTATCTCCAAAACTACCCCTATGAAACTACCTTCCCAAAATTTTTCTGAAATTAATATGCTATTACATAGCATTGACATATAATTCGATTCAAATTTTGTGGGCCACAAAATGGGCGAAATTTGGGTTACCCTTTCTAGTGATTTATTACAGATAATGATTTATTGATAGTAAATTACTGCAGGAGATCGATTTTTACTTCTCAGTTAAAAAATCCTATAGCAATTTGTACTACAAAATTCTCTCCGTGTAGGCATTGGTATTCTCGCCTTATCATCGCGCACTTCCGCTAAATTTGCGAACGTCGACGTGATTTGCAGAAACATTCGCGTATTATTTCAAGAGCGCAATCTGTCGGGCGACGACGCCGATCAACGCGACTCACTGGAACATCGTTCCGCAAACAACGTTTCGGTTCGGCTCGGTAACGGTGATCTCATGCTTTCCGGTTCGGTTATCGCGATATGATGTATCGCTGATTGCATGGAGCGTGTCGGAGGGAGAAAAAAGCGCGGTCATGCGCGCGCACGCGGCGGTAAGCACAAGTGCGGACGGGCGGGAGTCACGATAATTAAATCTGTCGCTTTGGAAGCGCTCCCATGTGAACAAAGCGCGAGCAAAAGGAACGTCGCGAGGCATTCGACGAAGCCCAGTGGAAATAACGTGGTGAAATGACTCGCAGATGTTAACCCGCGATCCTCGAAGCTCAAGGCATTTGCAGTCCGCTGACTTGCGCGCCCGTTGCTAAACTGTCCGCTCCCGAATGTGCACTTTGCAGCGATGTCACGGAAAATGTGCGCGCTGTGCGGCGCAATATTAAATTATAGCGCACAAACGCCCTCGAGATTCGTGGCAGCGCGCTCGTATCCCCATTCATTTTCGATCGTCACACACGCATATACACACACACACATACGCGGTTACGAACAAGCTTGCTTTTTACTTGGTTATTTCGCCGTTTATTTAAAACGCGATCACCACAATCATCTGGGAGTGCCGGCTCTTTCGAATATTTTCACGAAAATCGAGCTAAGCTCAATCACGCGTGACGCAATTTACGTGTGAGACGGCAGAGAAAGTTATTTCGGAGTACGCGGAATACGTTAAAGACAAAGCGCGGAACGTTTTTCTGTAAAAAACGCGCTACTCGGAGATCTACAGAAAAATAATTTTGCGGAGATGTAACACTGAATTAATCGCGTATTTTTGATTTTGTCAACGGCGGCAGCACCGATCGACTTCACAGCCACTGTGTAGAAGCGAGAGAGAGAAAGAGAAAGAGAGAGTGTGTGTGTGAGAGAGAGAGAGAAAGAGGGAGAGAGAGGGGAAGGGGAAGAAGCGGCGTTTTAGCGGCGATCTAAATTTAAGCCGCAGATTTATACGCCCTCACTCGCCGGGCATTGACTTTGCTCCGTACCGACTTTCAACCCCTTTCTTTTTCTTCTCAGCTTCTACCCACCCCTTCGCCCTTTTTCCTTGTCGTCTGCTTCTCGCGTCATGCCAACGCGACTCTGACTAACGGCCGTTTCCCCTCCCTGCTTGCATTCGTTCATTCCCGTTGCTGTTTATTATCGCCGCGCGATATTCGCGACCATGTCCTCGCAAATATAGAACGGCCAGCAACCGGCGACGGCTAGCTGGCCTTCGCTGAGGACGCCTCGGAAGCGCTATCAAACCGCGAAACTCATCAGTACCATGGCGAAGCTAAAGGGCTTTCTCTCGCCGGGTAGAGTCGAGAGACTATCCGCGATGGAACTTTGGAAGAGGTGGAACGTGGCGGGAGTGAGATCCCTCGCGAAAATCCACCCCGACGAAATAGCCGGAGCAATTTGTTCCAAGCGAAACAGAGTAATCTAACGTTTCGACCGCGATAAAATCTGAGGAAGCTTGCCCAAAGTCTCTTTATCTTCGACTCCTATCGCACGGCGCTACTCGAGCCTCGACGCACATTGAATTTTCGGGTGAATTTTCGAGGAAGAATCTTTATGGTAGGATTTTCAAATGGATGTAAAGTCAAAAGAGAGGAAGAGGCAGCAAGAGAGAGAAAGAAAGAGAGAGAGAGAGAGAGATTCTTTCTACGGTTATTGACTTTATGTTCATTGATCAGATTGATGAAGCAATAAGCAAAATGTACTTTTTAATCGATAACAATACTCTTTACAGTACAATCAGTATATGTTTCACATGAAATGCTATACTTATAATTGTTTCAGTTCTAAGTATAGCATCGCAATCAGTAAAATTTCGCTGAAAGAATCAAAGTAATTAATACACTAAGAGAATATCTGAAAAATAAAAGATATTTATATATATTCGGCGGATACTTATAATATACACAGTTAGAAATCTGACGTACAAATGTAAAAATTCTAATGTGTTATCTACTTTTAACTATTATTTCAATGTAAAATTAATATTACCGACATGTTATGATTTTCGTAATGTTTTAATGTGTTATATTATTGTCAACTTAATAACTTAACGTTTTTATATCACTTAGAGATGGAATATTATTTTTAATTTTTTAAACACAATCATTAAAGAAAAATGACATTTCTTAAAGTCACTTTAATATTAACAAAAATTAAAAAGCAAGTCTTCGAATCATTGTAAACTTTAACATAGAATATAAAATATAGTATAATAAAATTTATTAAGAAAAAATGTTTCTATCACAAATTAAGTTAATAAGTAAATTAAGTAAATTAAGTAATTAATATTATATATTAATATAAAATAAAAACTAAATTATAACATGTAAATCATTGCGCGTAAATCGCGCAAATGCGATGTGAGCGGCTCGTAAGTAAAGAAAGCGTGGCAGAAGTGAGGAGACTCCATCTTTATAACTTATGCCACAATCACGTTACTTTGAAGATATGTAAGAAATGGATTTGTGATAAATATGTATTATGTCTTTGTGTATTGTAAATCCTTTTGTTCCAAGTAGTAGTGAATATAAATAGCGTTAATAATATCCAGATTTATATAGAAAAATAAATATTTTTTATTCTATATTAATCTACAAGAATTTCTCTTTAATCTTAATTTTATTTAATTTTAATTTATAGTGCGTTTAATTGTGCAATGTTCTCTAATTAGCCTGGTTATTCGTACTTTATTATACTTTACTATATCTTTACTTAGAATAAAGAGGAAGAGGAAGAAGAGCATTGTATATTAAACAATTCCGCCTTATTTTTAGAGGTGAAGATTATATACGAGTTTTTTCCTGTGGTAATTTGCTCGAGCGCACTTGTCTGACGACATGCAGACACGTGACAATTTCATATCGACATGTGTCCAAAAGAACACGAAACAAGTAGCGAGACAAATACATTGTGAAATCATTAATTATTCTTATTAGGCAACACTCGACGTATGCCACGCAACTGGCAAAACAGTTGCGTATAATTATTCATTGTCAATGTCACAAAAAGACCGTTATTCATCAGCGTGGTATAAATATTGCTGCTGCATTACGATGCAGTGTAGATGCAAAGGTCCATCATTCTGCAACATGAAGGCGGCAGTCATACTTCTACTGTTGATCGTGGCTTGCGTTCTGTTCGAGGAATCTGTAAGTCTTAACATTCGTCTAAGCTAGAATTAGCTGCTGTCCAAAAGTTCGTCAAAAAGTTTCTGGAAAGTAATTATTATTCTGTATGAAGGAACAATTTGGATGGCGGAAAAAATGTGGATGGCGTAAACATTGGAGACGTCGTTGTTGGAAGCGTAAAACTACGACTACGACCACGTCCACGACCACGTCCACGACCACTTCAACTACGCCAACAAGTTCATCTTCAACTACTACTACTGAACCTACTAATCCTACTGGATTTTCAACTGGTAGAAAAAGGCGCGAGATTTTGGATGGTATGGATAATAAACTCCTACCAATTATAATATAAATGTGAGAAAATTGAAACGTCGAATTGTGGAATGAAATAATGCAGGAAACTTCACCGGAGCATTAGCAATTGTAGCACATTAATATAGTGAATCCAAGTAGTCTTTGATGAAGCAATAAACCGCAATAAAGATGTATCAGATGCTTACATATAAACGTAATTTTTTCAACTTTCCCAACCTTTTGAAAGAAAAACCAACTGGACATGCGAAGTAATTTTCAGTAATCAAGACATTTCAAGCAGATGCTTCGATAGAGATATATTTATAAAAATGATGTAGTAACTAGTAAAACATAAGAGACGTAATGCACATTATTAGACACATGTCCAATCTCGAGTTTTAAGTGTTACTCATATTGGAAGAAAAAAATGTTTAAAGAATAGTAAATATTTATTTAACGAGAACTAATAATATATTTACTTAAATAACAATTATTTTATTTAAATAGAACAAACAATTGCCTCAATGGAAAAGTAAGGTTCTCTTAAGGTTTCAAAAAAATGGATTTAAAAGATATTTGAAAAATATTTTATATATTAGTACAAGTAAATATGTTATTAGTATTCACTGAATAAATATTTTTGTTGTTTCGTAAGTATTTTCTTCTCTTAATACACTTCACAACTATTTTTTATTGATTTTTTCTTCAATACATAAAACGAAAAAACCTAGAGGAAAATCCAAGGTTGCTAGAATTTGTTCGTGCTCGGGGGTTTTTCGCCGAAAATGTGGGGTTTACAAACTTACAGAACTGACTGTGAATATTAGAACACAACCTCTGGGGGATGACAGCCATACGTGATACGAAGTAAATCGCGTCATTACACCGGAACCAATCAGATACTTTGAAAGATAAATGAATGTGACTCGAGATATACGAATCAAACCTACTTTATACTAAATATGTTCACAAGGTAATATAAATAAACAAACATTTTAGCGACAAAGCACCAGGCATAATTAATATATTTACATTATTACAATGCCGAGAAAAAGTTCCAATAAGACGCGTAGTGAAGGTAATATTACCGTTTTATTCATATTTAAAATTAATTTGACACATTGTTATATTTATTTATATTTATGACAAGTAATAGATAACATATAATAAATTTTATCAGCTCAAAACAGCATGGAAACAATTATAGATAAAGTTGAAGAAATAATAAAAGAAACTGATTCTGTACAAAATAAATCGACGAAATAAGTTTCCATTACCTTGTCTACTTTTTAACTTACATAAGAAAATCATTTATGTAATTTTCCATCTAATAATATAAATGTAATATAACATATATATTATATTGCTTTTATATTGCTAAATGGGAAATTATATGATTGGACGTACTTTGGACTTAGCAAGTTTGTCGCACGGTGGAAGTTGGATGGGATATAATCTGATAGCTAATAAACCTGCTGTTTTTTCGTAAAAGCTAGAAGTTTATTATGGAATAGCAGTACGTTTACTAACAATATCACGGTATTCCTTAGCCAATTTCCGCCGTGTGATAAACTTGCCGCGTTTTATGTGCTGCCGATTTAACATTAACATAATGTTATTATTAAAGTGACTTTCATCAATTCCGGTTAAACTTTGGTTAAGTTGTTGTTTCTTTGTAACCAACGGTTTACTCAACGGAATTGACTAACAGGCATCGATTAGCTCAGTTAATTGGCTAATGATATTGGTCAAATCCCATAGGGTTAACTGTCGATTAACTGAAATTGGTGAATGTCTCCTTTAAGCCCGTTTTCAACTTTGATTAATTAATCGGTTGGTTATTTAATCTCAATTTATCAAGCGCATCTATCATTGATCATATTTGATAAATTCAATTGGTTGATTTCAATGGAGTAACCAACGGATTAACTTAACCAAACTTGGTAGAAACAGACATCAGTCGTTTAATAAGTATAATACTTATTTTCAGAACAAATAATAAAACAACAAAATTAGATGTATTAAATATAAATGACGAGTTGGAAACTATAATGTTCGCTACTGACGAGATGTTAGAATCACAAGTATTAGAATATTCGACAGTGTAAGTAAAAATTTAAATTTAAAAATATAAATTCGATATAAAGACAAATTTCCATTTATATATATAATAAATTATTTCCTTATGGAAGTTGATATATGTGTATATAAATATAAAATATATTCTGTGCTGTCTAGGATGATTTTATAGTAAAATTGAATTTACTTAAACTTTTTAGTGAATATTTTTATTGATATATATATGCTATGTTCCGTTTCACGCATAATGCGCGCATTTTCTATATTATATGTAACATGAATTATAGATAAATGCGCGCATTTGGGTAAAACGGAACGCTGCTATAATTTATTCTTAAATCTTTTCCAGCAAAATAATAGGATTCATCGACGAAATTGAGGGACCCAAAATAGTAGGAAAGGTTCAACAATATAAAATGTTGAAATTTATTTTAAATAACAATAGCCGCCATAGGATACAAGTAGTTGCCTGGAACAAGGAAGTTGATAAAGTTGAACATTTGATGACACCGAATAACGTAAATAAAATTTAATATAAACAAATATAATAATATAATTTAGTATAAATAAATAATATTAATAATATCCCAGAGATAACACAGAGAGTTAAAAAAAAATTCCTCTGTGTGTTATCCAGTCTGAGTTTATTTTCAGATTTTCAAAAAAAATTCTTTTATATAAGAAGAGTTGAAAATAAACTTAGAATTGATGACATACAAATAAATTCTTTTTAAACTTTTTGTATTATTTGAGATATCGATTTTACTAATTATTACTATTTACAAATAATTTATATTGACGGAGGAAAATCGAAAAAATAAAAATTTCTGGAATATAATAAAGGGACACTACCTTATGAAATATTAATTCAACAAAATATAGTGATTAATAACTTAGGCACTTTCGATGTGAAGTAAAATTTAAGAACACACAAATGTGATACACCGATAGCTTTGGAGAACATACCTAAGTATATGAATTCTTACATACGTAAGTAGTCTGTTATAACAAATTCAACTTATTTTATAACGATTTTCTTATTATTATATAATTTAATTATATTAATTATTCCTATATGTGTATACATACATACATACATACATACATATATACATACATACATATATATATATGTATGTATACAGGGTTGGCAAAAAGTCCGGAAACGGTCAGATATCTCGAAAAGGATCAACTGTAGCGAAAAATGTATAAGTAGCAAAGTTATAGGGCTTAATAAAATGTACCTAATGGTGGCTAAAAATTTGACTTTGGGTGGAGGACGAAGGTCATACGAAGGTCAAATTGAACTTTTTAAATTCCCATTTTTTATTACATATTCTTGTAGCTTATTTCAAGGGCTTTCCAAAAACCTATAAAAAGTATTTTTTATTAGGCATATTTAGAGTTATGAGGCTTGAAATGATTTTGGTCTTTAACTGTTTCTGTTTCGTAAAAACGTATCACTGTCTTCTGAACGATGGATTTAGAAATAAAATTGCGATCAGGATATGCAGCATTGAATCAGTTACTTCTTCGTATGATCTAATATGGTCTCCAAATTTTCGATAAGGCAGCATTATCTTTTCTTTATCGATTAACATTTTTAAAAAAGAAATTTGAAATTGTAGTTGGAAAAAGAAAGGGAAAAGACAAAGAGTAAGATGCGAGAGAACACGACTCGTTTTTAAAATACAAAGATCGAGAAGCGTTATCGTGAAGCGCGGGTATGCGCGAGTTTTGACTGAGTACGTGTGATATTACGTCGTGAATGAATAACCGCGTTCGATGAGAGCGAATGAACTAAGCCGGTCATATCGTCTAGCTCGAGACACGAAAAACAAAGTTATTTTTGTTTTTCTACAACTTTGCTACTTACATATTTTTCGCTACAGTTGATCCTTTTCGAGATATCTGACCGTTTCCGGACTTTTTGCCAACCCTGTATATACAAGATGAGTGCAAATTGCTAAAAAAAACTTTTCACCCTTCAATTGAAGTTATTGACATCAATTTTAATTAATCGAACAATATAAAAATAACGCGTGCAATTTCTTATCTAGATTTTCATCTGATATGCCTTGATCTGAATCAGAGATTTTCATATGGTTCGCTTCTCACTTATCTGAGATCAGATCGAAGCAAACGAGGTGAAAAATATGAAATATGAAATTGCACGCAGGCCTTTAGCTCATCGCTCGATCAATTACAATTGTCATCGATAACTTATATCGGAGAATAAAAAGCTGTTTCACAAACTTGTATTCACCCTCTCTGTGTGTGTGTGTGTGTTTATATAATACAATTTTTTTAATCATTATTTAATATGCATACTGAAATTAATTTTTAGTTGTACGAGGTTTTATCAAGACGAACTTTAACTGCATTACAATTAATTCATATAATTTCGCTTGTGGATCTATAACAGATGGGAAATTTAAACTGGAAATCCAAATTAAAGATTATGATGATATGAACGAATTTGAAAAGGGACTACATGTAGACGTAAAAGAATATGTTAAAGTGAGAAGTATGATACGTATGATAAAAAATATTCGATTCTTAAAATTATTAGTTGTCTATAACCTGAATGAACTCAAGTTTGTATTTAAAAATTAACATTTCCTTTTCAGATGATGTCTTTTACTTAGAGGTAGAGAAAAACAGAGATATTAAAATAATTGACAATGAAAAAATGTCGTTTATGAATCGCTTCAGCGGTTCAACTACCATAACAAAAAGATCATCTTCAGACGAAAATATTGAAAAGAAAAAAATTTTGTAATTAAATTTGTGTAACATTACTAAATCACTAATTACACTTTTAATAATAGAAATATACGAAGTGACTGTGTGGTCTAATATAGCGCGTGTTTATTTTCCCCGGCACGCGATGGTAAGTATAATCAACGAAACTCGTTTCTTTTTTCCCGCCAATTAAACGCTCGTTTGATGCATCAATGACCAACGCGTCGGCGATGGTACGTAATTACGGCATCGTCGGCGGAGCGCGGAAAGTCCAAATCGTTCCACGAATTTGCGGTCGGAATAGCTTTTAACTGGTAACCCTTTTGTTCGAGTAAAGAACAATATTTTCCTTTCGCTCCCTGGTCATAAACGAATCGCGATCGCGCGAGGCAGTTTCGGAAAAACAATCGAGCGCGCAACCGTGTCGCGCTGATGGCCCTTTTTTTCGAGCCAGAGGGGATAGGCGCATTGGAACAGAACGGTAAATACCGGACTGGCTGCACGACAGGGAAATATTTATATCTTCCGCCATTGAGCGGTCGCGGTGCAGACGTTCGCGGTAATCATCGGATCTGATCGTTCTGTCTGAATTATGCGGGGAGTCGTGGGGCGCCTTGCGCTTCCTGCTGCCTAGTCTTTCCTTAATCAACACGTGATGGCTCGAGATGTTGTTCGAATACTAAATCTTATCGCAACGGGACAGAAGCACGAGAAGTACCTCGTCAATTTCGTCAAGAACGAGCGCGTGACACACGATTTCCTGCCGGTTTAACGAGAAACCGCATCGATGGCGGTATTTTCGCACGACGGTACTCCACTAATTTATTCCGTCGCTCTTTGTGCGCGCACTGAAAGAAGGATTTTGTTAGGAGTAGCAAAATTTGATGGTTGTTGCCAAATTATTTAGTCATATATAATAATAATGCGGGCCAAACAAAGTGATAATTAGGAAATAATTTAGTTATATAAAGTGTAAATATATAGTTCTCAGAATCACAGGGAAAAAAAAGATTTGCTAATATATGGACAACTAAAAATATTAACTGCAGGAGCAAATTTTCTTGCTTTCATAATAAAGTTATTTAGTTGTGATAGCTAAAAGATTTGCTAATATATATATTATATATCGCAGTTAATATTTTTAGTTGTTCATATATTAGCAAATCTTTTTCCGTGTGGTTCTGAGAACTATATATTTACACTTTATATAACTAAATTATTTCCTAATTATCACTTTATATTTGGCCCGCATTATTATATATATTATATATATTAGCAAATCTTTTAGCTACCACAACTAAATAATTTTACTATGAAAGCAAGAAAATTTGCTCCTGCAGTTAATAATTTTAGTTGTCCATATATTAGCAATTCTTAGCAATTATTAGCAAATCTTTTAGCTACCACAACTAAATAATTTTACTATGAAAGCAAGAAAATTTGCTCCTGCAGTTAATAATTTTAGTTGTCCATATATTAGCAATTCTTAGCAATTATTAGCAAATCTTTATTTCCATGCAAGATTTAGTTGCTTGAACTATACATTTTGGTCATCAAACTAGATTCTAGAAAGTGATACCAAATCTTGGCAACAGAAAACGAGATATTTGTTAACTATTACTAAAGTCCGAGATGAGAAAATTGCTTACGTAATTTTTTTGTTTTATTCGAAAAATCTCATCGTGTTATTTAAACTACTTTAAGAAAACTATATTTTTTTATTTTTTACGTTGCTTTTTATCGCTTCACATGTGAAGTCCTGTCCGTGCTGACTATACTAAAAAAAGAATAATTGTTATTAAATGTATTTAGTTACAGAATTTGACTACAAATTCGGTAACTAATACCAAAAAATATGGGCAATAATAACCAAATACATAGTAGATTTGATATACAGAAGACTTAATCATAATCAAGTGGATTTTAGTAATATCTATTAGGTATTTAACATCTGTTACCAAGTATTTGATGACTACAATAAGACATTTGGTAAATGTTATGAAATCATTAAATTCTGTTTGATGAAATATTTGGTAACTATTAATATTTATCTTGTTAATGCAACGAAATATTAGATAATTATTAACTGATAATATCTTAATCTTATGATTAAAAAATTTTTGTACATAATCTACTATCTATTTGATTATTATTATCATATTTTGTATTTGTTATCGAATTTTTACTTAAATTCTGTAACTAAATACATTTAATAACAATTACCAGTCCTTTTTTCAGTGCAGTCACTCCTATCGTGCGCGAAATGTGACCAATGGCAGAAATGCAGAAAGAACTCCTAGAGAGATCTCGCGCGGAAATTTACGACTCGCCATAATGATCCGGACTGAATTTTAGTCCCCGAAGACTCAGCCATTCGCCGGCGATTCAACTCGATCCGCTACGTTTATGTGTTCGCATTTATGACCGAGCCAAGTGCTTCTTTGCGCTAGATAAAAATTCGTGCGCGACTAGGGATTCAAGTAGAATATTATTAACTAGAGGGAATAATGCGCGAATGCTTATTTAAAATATTGATCAAACGAGATAGAACACACAAAGAATATTATAGTCTTTTCATTTTTACGTAAATTTTTGTAATAATTCTTATATACTGTGAGTGTAAAAAGTATTCGTACACCAGAGATTGTCTTGACAAAGACTTGGTGTACAAATACTTTTTACACTCACTGTAATAAACTATCAGTAAAGTCTATTTTGTTAAAGGACATTAATTTCGCCAGGAACATAGCAAAATTTCGTCAAAAACATATCAAATTTTTTAACAACACATTCCAGATTTCTTTGAAAATAAACAAATAGCTCTTATGAAATAAAATGAATTTTTATTATAAAGTTCTCTCCATGTAATAATTCTGTCTGTTATTACCTTTGTCACTTGACATATTGACTTGTGTAATAAGTAATTTCGGATTTGTCAGATAAAATAAAATACTTGTAGTTTTATATAGTTATAATTTTATAAAGCAATGTATACATGATTCTGATCTATTACTATTCGTTGCATATACATTGTTAATAAATTGTAATTTTTAATCTACAGCCTACAGCTACAAACAGATATTTATAGCTCTAATAATATATATAGCTCTTATAATTTTACTTTAATAATATATATAGTTCTTATAATTACAACGACATAAAAATAAAATCGTTTCATTTCAGTAAAAAGAATGTGAAATCATTTGTTACACAATATGATGAAGCAGTTTGACTAATTGAGGCGCACAATTTTGAAATATATATCTCCAGCTAAGCCTAAACCAAATATCGATTTATGGCTCTTGGATGTGAGGCTGCAGATTAACAATTGCCACCGACTTTGTCGTTAATTGTCGCGATGGGACTGTGAAGTATTAAAAACGCGGGTCGCTACGCGAGGACAGTCGAATCGCGGGGGAGCCGACCTTGCGCGGGACAATTCGGCGTGATAATTCAGATTTTCATTCCGCGGTTAACGGACCATGCATATTTATAGTTTAATTAAAATCGATACGAGCTTACGCATGGCTGGCCGAAATGGCGCGACGCACCGCGCCTTCTTTTGTGCGCGAATTTCGACACCGTCGCGTCGCGATGGAAATGCGTATCGATGAATATGTATCGACGAGATACTCGAGAAGGGAGGCGCCGCGAAAACAGGAATGCTCGCGTTTAACGATTATGCTAATTCCACATCGGGTGTTGTAAGAGTGTGAAGTATCGTATCGTAATGAATCACATAACGTTCACCACGTCGACTCTTAGCGCTTTCTCATAATTTCGTAAGCCCGTCGAGGGGAGCCACAGGCCGGTCAAAAATATATTCCGTACACTGAACGAGCATTGTTGATGCAATGCGCGTAATAAAGCAGCGCGACCGGTCGGAGAAACGAAATAAATTATGGATGGAGACAATGGGACGACTTGTTAATTACCGGCGCGATAACGCATTAGCGTATTGCACTGAGAAAAATCCCATCGGAACGAAAGCACGCTTGCTGTTTGATGATCGTTAGGGAAACAGATCGATCAGTTGACGTTGCATCTCTCGACGAGATCATCTCTCATCATTTGTCATTTTAACGAGCATACGTTGAGACACAAATCGCATTTGTTCTCGTCCATTCGGGTAAGGTTAATTATATCTCCATTGTTATCCATATACGAAGAGAATTTTACAGTAAAAAGTTATTATGGGACTTTGCAACCAAAGATCGACATTCTACAGTGATTGACTCTATCCTCTCGTCTCATATGTGTTACCCATATTTTGCGAACTGAAACACTTACTATGCTTCTAGCGAAATCTGCTATGTTTCTAGCAGAATTTATACTATGTTCCTTAGCAAGATAGACCTTACTGACAGTCTATTTTTGGACTAAAAAAACATAGTGAAACTTAAGAGAATTTATACGAAACAAGACTATAACATACTCTCCGTGCAGAAGTGCCGCTAAAGCTTGATCTACAATGTGTTGCTCCCTGTTTTTCTTTTTCTTTATCTCTTTCCGACTCAAACTTCAAGCTCTGAGCTAGAAAAAGACAAAGAACAAGAAACAGGAGGCAAAGAGTACATTGTAGATTGAACTTTAGAGCAGCATATTAAAAGTGACAATTCATTTGTTCTCACTCCGGACTCATTTGCTGTCCCATATCAGCAAACCATTTATCACGGGTGCTGGTATTTTGTTGAAATGGCAAAATTTTTCCTCTCAATGTGCTCCCGTAAGATTCGTGATCGGTGATGTGACGAAAGAATATTCGCCTTGATGCGTCTCTCTCTCACTCTCTCTCTCCCTCTCCCCCCCCCC